AAAAGAGGGATAACTTTAGTTCCTTATAACAAGTTGCTTGTAATACTTCAGTAATGATATATCTTTACAAAGCAAGTACTCTGTACATCTGAACTGCAAGCTCCATGTGTAAAGATCAATCACTGAAGTAAGAATTCTAATATTCAAAAGAGAAAATTACCTCAAGTTTTCAGATAAGTAGTATTAACAACAAGAAACTGTATGAACTTTGCACATATTTTGCAAATTCTTGATGAGTATATCATTAGTCCACATATGATGGGAGCTCCGGAGGCCAAACTGAACCATGCAGTGGGCTGAGCATGGAGTCAGCTCTTAACCCAATTGCCCCGTGTGGCAAGAATACATGCCATACCATTGTAATACAAGTTATTTATTGTAATTACACATAGATTGCTCTACAAGTGCTTAGTCAATAAGGAGTCGGTTATTAGTCCTACATATCTCACCTGTTCACCCTTTTCCTCGAGTTTTGGAAAGGGTCTCTTGCATTATTTCCTTGTCTTAAATGTTATCAAGATTTTAATAACAATTTAGTAATCATATCAACAACAATAATAACAGTATCGATGTCAGCTGTATTAAAAAGAAAAACACATTTCCTTGCCAATTCAAGGAATGGGGATATGAGGATCGGTCACTAAGGCTACTGATAGACTCCTTGCTGGCTGAGCACATGTGGAGCCATCTATATGCAACAACATTCACAAAAAACTACAGGGGACAGAATATAAATCCGGGGCAAATGGGTTAAAGGTAAAATTAGGAGTATGAGAGATATAGAATTACCCTGCTCTCTATGCTCTTGGCATTTTTTAGCAATAAAACACATAATTCTGCTAATCACATTTGTGGGGACTTTTCAGCAAGGGAACGATTTTCAAAGTCATATATTTCACTTGCACTTGGTATCCTGTAAAAGATCTTGAAATGGAGTTAAAGCTATTTACGTGTTTCCTTTCAGAAGATCCATCAGCAAAGCTAGCACCTCGAGATTTTATGCTAAAGGCACCTGACAGTGATTTGGCAGAGGAATCAGGTCTTCCTCAGGACAGGTGTGTTAGTCCCTTCACTGTTCTTATGAGTGCGCGTTTTTGTACATGGTTTCATTTTGTGGAATAGTAAGGGTACAGGTGTTAGATATACCCTTAGAGGTTAGCTCTTTGGGAAGCATTTTTGTTTATTGAAGATATACTAAAAAGAGAGTTATTTTCCAACAGACCTTTTGAAGGGGAGAGGCATGATGGACACAAGCACTGGGGTCCTCATGGCTTCAGTGGTGGTTTCGGAGGCTTTGGAGGCTTCCATGGAGGTATACATGGAGGCTTGAACGACCCATTCGACATGATGGAGGAATTTTTCCATAACTTTGGGAGACATTTTGGAGGGTCGCCTTTTGAAGGACCGCAGGGTGGTGGTAAGTTCTTTTTTATGGACTTTGAAATAAAGTTAATAACAAATGAAATAAGTGAATACCATTTTTGAATATTTAGAATAAAATTTTTAAGCACTAGAACCAATTGGAATATGGGACATGGAAATCAAATATATAATTGTATTATCAATGGCAGGTCCTCCAGTGCTACCAGGGCCAGGCATGGATCATTCTGACAGCAGTAGGGATTCAGTGCTAAAGGAGGATTCTGATCTTGATGACAGGTGAGGCAAGTGGAAGGCAGATTCTTATTAGTTTCATTTCTTAATCATTTGTCTTTTATGAATAGTTTTCCAGTTTATGAATCATCTTTTCCATAGGGGAACTAAGAGTTTAGTTATGATATCTCTGAAAAGCATGTACATTCATGCTGTATCCAGTGTGATTTTGTCATATTAATTTTGTAAACTAATAGATGTTTTGTCACTAAGGAATTAATTGTGAGTTGTACCTTTCATGCCAATTTATCTTTTCTTTGATTTTAGGAAATGTTTTAAAAAAAGTTTTATTGCTAATAGCTTTTTTGATAACATTATGGTACTCACAATATCAATAATAATAATAACAGTATTGGTACTAATTGCATTAGAATAAGACTTCTCTCCCAAAAATTCAGTGACCTAGGAAATCAGGTTAGGTTACATAGAGCCTGCTAATTGACTTCTTAGTGGTGAAGCACTCACATAGATGGGGATTAGAACTATTTTTGATAGCTTTTGATAATTTCAAGGGACTTTCAGTGTCGCTGGGGATGGCATGTTCATGTATGCCATGGGCACTGTGAGTTTTGTTTGTTAACTCTACACAGATGGCTCCTCAAGTGTCATTCACTAGTCCTACTTATCTCATCTGCTAACTATTTTCCTTGATTTTAAGATTTTTAAAGTTTTATTTTATAATGTTATTAGTTTTGTTTATAGATGAATAAAAATCATAATGTCAGTGATCGTAACATCATCGGTATTAATAGCATTAGAAAAAAAAAATCCAGAAACTTTGAGGAAATGGATAATGAGGTGCAGTCACATAAACTACTAATTGACTCCTTGGTGGATGAGTACTTGCAGAGCCGTCTGTGTATAAAGACCTTTCACTACAAAACCCCTGTGAGCATAACAAGTTCCTGGCAGCGTGGGGGTAGTTTTGTTTTGTAGCTATATTGTAGAGCAAGCATTAGATATTTCTCATCCTTTGGCCTTGCATACAAGTCACAATCACTTGATATATGATTATCAACTTATAGCATGTGATAATATTTTAGAAATGTTATTAACAAATTAGATACTGTATAGTACTCCATTAGGGAACTATATGGTTAAAGTTAAGAATAGATTTCATGAGGGAACTTTATTGTAAATATGTAATTTTTTTGTATGTTTACAGATGAAGCTATTACTGTTAGATTGTTTTCATTATTAAGGCCTTCATACAATTGTCTCATTGTAAAATATCTATTGAGATTCACTTTACAACATTTATTAGAAAAAAATGCTGAGAACAAGCTGTAAATATTTAAATCAGTTAGTCATATACATTTTTCAAATGTTTTGGTAAGTTGTTATTGATTATAGATCAAGACATTGTAAAATAGCTAGTGATATTAGCTTTTCATTTTTTTTTCAACTTGGCTGCAAATAAGAAATCAAAAGATATCCAGTGATATTCACTTGAGACATATTAGTGATTACAACTGAACAATTTAAATTCCTTCAGGGTCTCGGGTGGCCTTTCTCAGCTGCTAAAAGAAGGACCGCGATACGACTCCCTTAATCCACCTGCAGGAAACACGCCTCTTGGTCCTCCAGACGGCCTACAGCTTCAGCCTGGGATTCAACACAGGTTCCACTCATCCACTATTACCCGAATTCGAAGACCTGACGGGGTAAGCCTCCTGGGCGGTGCTCTTTTCTTTGGGGGACGTTTTTTTATGGTTTATTTATGTTGCCTTATTTTCTGAATATGAAGACCAAATGGGGTGAGCTGCTGGAGTATTACTGTCTTTCCTTTTTTTAAATATTTAGCTTGTCATAGGCTTGATTGTTTTATTTGGTCAGCATGCTGCTGTTTTTATAGAAAAGGCATCAATGAGTATGAATATCTTCACAATACATGAGATGTATTTAACTGGGTTTTGAATGCATCTTCATCAAAAATACATGTATTTCTGACGAAGATATATTTGAAACCAATTAAATACACCTCTTGTATCATTCATGCCTTTTCTAGGTTTGTGAAAATGAAGATGCTGTTTTCCTCAGAATGCTTTTGCTCTGGGGTATAGGTTTGTGGGTATTTTTTTTTTTTTTTAAATCTTAAAAGTGGCATGTATACATGGAAATTATATGCCTGTTTTTTTTCATGTAGTGTATAGATGCTAATGAGAATATAGAATATTGTTTCTTGAATGGAGTAAGTGATAAAAGTTGACTTTGTACTTGGCAATTGTCAAGATTATTGGGGAAGAGGTGACCATGTTTACAGGCATATAAGGAGCACCTGTTTAAAGACATTTAAAGGGTAAACAGGCGAGACAGGCAGTACTCGTAACTGGCTCATTGATGATTAAGTATAACTGTAGCCATCCATGTGTAAAAACAATTAAACAAATAAACTCACAGTGGGCATGTCATGGATATGTGACAGCCCATCGTGAATGGGTTAAGGAACATTTCACTTTCTTAGTCTAGTTATTAGGGTAAAGTGATATAAAAAAATTGTACTATTACTTTGTGTAGGTTTCTGGGAAAGGGGAAGGTGTTCTAAATTGGTCAAAGCTTTGGAGGCCGACAGTCATGATCATAACCATTATTCATGTTTTTGGTGATTTAGCTGTAGGTTTCACATAATTCTGCATGCTTAATTGCACTAAAGGATTAAGAAGACAGTCAGTGTTTTTATTTGGTGAACAAAAGGTCACCATAAAACTACCAGTCAGTATGTATTTGGCCCTTGATCTCGGCTTTGGCTTCAGTGACTCATTTATATTGGAGGCAGGGTAATCTTTGTAGATTTTCCTTTGAAAAAGGTTTGACGTATATGCTGCCAGAGAGGGTACAACATTTATTACTTCTGTAGAGTGCAATTGCTTATGTCAAGTGTTCTCTGATTCACACTCATTCTTTTGAGTTCTAGTGGACATTGTCTTTAATATTTTACAGATTTAGGTTGTATTTAGTACCAGTTTTAATGTAAAAAAACAGTGAAATGCATCTCCTAATTAATTCGTTGTTGGAAAATCACCAGTTGGGTTTGTATTATTTGTACCAGCCTCTTGTAGATTTGAATTGGTTTGTATATATTAATTGGAATTTGTAGTTCCTCTTGTGATAAGGAGATGAGCTTTGTTTCATTTTAAATATTGACCACTCTTATTCACAGTCTTGTTCATATTCTTCTTTTAATGCTTCTTATTTCTATAGCATATTTGTATTCTTGTTCTTGATCTTGTTCTTGTTCTTACTCTTATTCCTAACCGTATTATATTTATTATATTTATTATTTATGTTATTTTTGTTATAATTATTCCTGTAATTACTGCTAATTATTATTAATAATAATATCTATTCATCTTTCAGTTCCCCACTTTCTGTTGTCCTGCCCACGCTTTACTGCAGTCCTACCTCTGCGTCCCCCCACCTGTCCGTCCTTCACCAACCTCCCAACCCATCAGACGTCCTTCCTCAGACGCATGTTTATCCTTTACTTGATCTAATCCCCCTTGCTTAATCCTCCCTTAACCCATTCGCACCGGGTAAAAATGAACAAAAAATGGGGGAAATGCTGAGCTCACTTTTTATTTTTTTTAATGAAATTTCTCTACACTAGATGGCTCTGCTTTACCGGATTTTATTTGGCGGGAAAATGTATTTTTACTAGTGCTATGAATATCGATGGTTATTTTTATTATAAACATTATAATTACTATAATGTTATAAACATTAGTAACAGCAAAATAAGATAACGCAAAATAATTTCGTAAATTAAAGAAAAGGGTAAACAGACGAGACAAGCAGTACAAGTGCAAGTGGAGCCATCTATGTTTGTAAACAATCAAACAAGTAAACTCACAGTAGGCTCGTCACGTATACGTGACACCCGGCGTGAATGGGTTAAACCATTCACTCATCGCCTCCTTTACCCACCTTTAACCTTCCAATACTACTCTAGACTGTTGACGTACAACAAGTAATTACTAACTGGACCCCTAACTACCCTTTCTAATACTGCACCTTCCTATAGTGCTACATGACCTTATGTGTTTAGCACATTTATTTGTTGCTTTTACCAGTAACCAATAACAGTTATTAATAATATTGCTATTATTGCTATTGTTATTATTATTATAATTATTATCATTATCATTATCATTATCATTATCATTATCATTATCATTATCATTATCATTATCATTATCATTATCATTATTATTATTATTATTATTATTATTATTATTATTATTACTACTACTACTACTACTACTACTACTACTACTACTACTACTACTACTACTACTACTACTACTACTATTAGTATTGTCATTGTTATTGTGACTTATCCCACCTTCTATGAAGGAAATGAAAAGAGAAAACACAAATAAGGAATCCCTTTCTTCCCTGCAGTCCATTGAAGAGACAAGAAAGTACCGCGACAGCACAGGTCGGGAGGAAGAGACTGTCACCCACTACCAGCCAGAAGCAGAAACCTCTCCAGGAAGCCTCCTAAAGCCAGGTAAGTTAAGGAGTCTTTTGTAGTACATTTTAAGTGAAAATTCACTTTCCAATATGCATGTATTATTCTTAACTCAGAAAGTAGGTCTTTGTGTACAAGTGCCAGACTAATCTCATGTGGTTTATTTTCAGGGCCAGGAGGGACAGCGGATGGACAGGAGGGGGGCCAGCACCCTATTTCTGGGCCGTCGATCTTTTCGTGGCTCTTCACGCGATAGATGATTTATTGACAGCTATCTTGGTTTTCGCACTTTAAAATAATATATCTATATATTACGAGTGTTCTGAAATGGTCTCTTTAATATAGTATATATACATGAAGCAGTCATCTTTGATTAATGTGTGATTGCATAAAAAAAGAAAGTATATGCAGTTTAATCTTTTATATTTTACTTTTTTTCTTCAGTCTTCTTGGCATAAAGATTTACATATGAATTCTGAATGTAAAGGGAAGTCTATATGGCTCTGTATAAACCAGTGATGAAAGCTGTGGAAAAGTATGTCTTTTGAGTGTTTGTTTTAGAACATTAGACAACTTTCTGGATTTCTATGATTTATGTTTATAACAACACTAGTGTGAATATATCAAAATAAGTGTTTTATTTATTTATTATTTTTTTGTTTAGAACCTCTTTTATGTGAAAGATGTAATTAGTTGGTGGTTTTCTTGCTAATAAGGGTGTATCTATAGTAATGAGATGGGGATGAGTGTAAAAAGAAATATCTTTTATTAATAAATTGTAATAAATATATCATGTCTTTATGTTAGTGGAAACCAGGGTGCAATTTTTTCACCAAGAGAAAAATGAATATGGTATATTAATCTGTTCCAGGATATTGATGAGACTAGAATATGGAATATATATTTTCCCAAATTAGGGCATGTGTACATAAACATACTTCATAATGATATTCACCTTCATATACCTGCATTAATATATAAGGCCAATTCAAAGCTCTCAGCAGGACTGACTAACATACATAAATACAGAGGTCCATATGTGTCCCCTTCCATTGTATATCAAATTTTACTGTAGTAAGCCCCAGAAAAAAAAAATTCTTTGTTATTTTTTACTGTTTGCAAGTTTCTGATTGATTGGTATAGATGCCGACGGGCATGACATGTATGTAAATGCTATGCCTACTGTGAGTACTTGTTTGATTGTTTTTACACATAGATGACTTGTACTAAGTCACCAATGAGCCAGTTAAAAGTACTGCCTGCCTCGCCCGTTTACCCTTTTCTTACTAATGTTTATAATGTTATAGTAATGATAATGCTGATAATAAAAATAACACCATCAATATTCATAGCACTAGTAAAAAATATATTTTTCC